TTTGTATGCCATGAGCTTCGGTTTCATTTTTCTACTGTTTTGCCTATGTGTTGTAATTTGTGTTTATGGTAAGATTGTTGCAACAGTATTTTCAGATTCAAATATCAAATCTTTCGCACTTTTTCGCGCAACGGTCATACTGGTCAGTCGGGTAAAACACACATACAACATGTCCACAGTGGCAATTAAGTTGTCCGTGGCACGGTATCACTGTCAACATTGAACCTCTTTATTATTACATTTGTAGTAATAGAACCATCACCAGTACTGTAACAGTAGAGCAATACTGAGATGATAATGCCATTAGAGTTGTACATTTAATATCACTGTCTGACATACAATCAACTGGACCTATAACCGACCACGCTGAACGAGCGCTGAACTCTCTCTGTTTTTATTTCGTTTACACGTGATGGTATCATAACAATATGCCAACAGAGAAGTGTATGATAGAGGCAGTAGCAAGGTGGCATCTGGCATCATCTACCTGGCAACACATTTTGTCTGACGTTTATTCATACTACTTCCGAGTCTTCTACTTTTCTGTTGACCCCTTAACATACTCACGCTATTTAGACGCAAAAAACAATGCAGATAGTTTAATATGTTTAGACAGAATTTAATTGATTCTGAAAACCAATGCGTCTCTCCAAAAATCAATGAAAAGGTGAAGGTAAATAACTCTCACAATTGATAATCATATGCCCAGTGATAAACCATAAATATATCCAGATTGATGGACGACAGATGCAGCGGAGTTGAAAACAGATGCAGCTGAGTTTGAACTACTTCAAAATAATGCAATCATAATAGTAATCACTCTTCATTTATACACGCTCACAGTGTTATAACATACTTAATCAGAGTACATTTATTAATGATTATCCAACGTGGTCGAATAAATATGACGTCCGTCTAAGCACACAGTACTACTACAGTTTGATTTTCTAGATTACTGCATTCACAGAGATGATCTTGTTTAGACATCTTATTTTGAAATAGTGAAATGAAATGATCGCATGTAGGAATCAAAGATGCATAATTGTCTTTGTTGTTGTACTGTTATATTGTATTGCATGACATAGCATAACACAGCTAATTTGACTGCGAGTTTGTCAAACTTCTGTCATATGTTCGATTTCCTCCCAGTAGACATGTTTACCGATAATCTCATAGAAAACAATCTTAGATTGGCTGGGCATGATGGTTGTGACGTTGGGACGGTTTCTCATTGCTGTTGATTTCTATACCTTTCCTAATGTTTTCTAAGTACATGTCAGAAAGAGAGGAGAACAGTCAGAAAATAAGTCAGTGTTCCTGAAAAAGCCGTGGTAGCAAGTGCAGTGGCAAAGCGTTTTGCGTGTTCTCTACTGAAACCTAGAGAACAGGTCTCTAAAAATGTATTAGAATTGTTAGGTTGTTATGCTTTATACAAGTGTTTTCGGAAATTTCAATAGAAATAAAATCAAAAACTAGTTAAGGTATTGATAATATGAGACCTAATAAGGACTAGCGACAGATACGCAAAAAATGGATGAATAGAAGCAAACAATGTCATTGCAACTCGTAGAAGTGTTGATTAAAAATTTAAAGGCATGTCAGATATATGAACGAGTTACCTTCACTTCAAGTACCGGGTGGCTGTATAAAACGGCTTACATCACAATGAATGTTATTTTTGTGAATTTATCAATTTTCAAAGGGAACCAAGACACTTGCCTACCCGTGAATTTTATTTTTTAGCTACATCAAATAATAATTTGATTGCAAATTCAAAATAGCGACCAAACTATGTGACTGATCAGAACTAATTTATTTTTGCCGAAAGCTTCCTTGAGAATTCACCTGGAAAAGACGTTAATGAGACAATATGTTTGAGACTTTGGTATCAACATATGTAGTACATCAAATGTTTTTAATTTTAATGTAGAATGCTTTGGAGTATGACAAAATGTATTTGACATATGTTGTCAATGATTGATCACATTTACTGTAGTATTTTACACATGTTATATAAGAGTACACGTATTAGTCTGTGGTATATCACATTGGCTCTAGTATAGCTAATATTTGTTATGGGATTGTATGTTTTATTTATGATTAGATACATTTGAGCTACAATTGAACCCTTCCATTATGTATAGGATTGACTATATTTAACTGGTCACTTTTGAGTTGGGATCAATGTAGTATTGGTGGTTATATTAGGCCTATGAATTTACACATATGCTGCACAAAGGTTTAACCATGTTTGGCCACACTGGATCTACAATTCGTCATATTTGCCCCAGTATTGGCCTTACGTGAGATAAGACCAAATGTATATATATATATATATATATATATATATATATATATATATATATATATATATATATATATATATATATATATATATAATTGATTACAGTCCATATTTAGAAACATTTTTTTAATCATATTTAGCCAAAGAATGTTTACATTAATTGTACACATATGCCTAAGTATTGATCATGTGTTATATGTGAATGCCCGCATTGGTCTAAGATTGGCCACATTGCGTCTACCATTCACTGTAGATACACTCTGTATAATGTGACAGGGAATCTCGTTTGAGCAATATAAGCATTCTACTTAACTAAATTGCATATAAACGTCTTTTCCAACCATTTACAATTTCTTTTGCCACCTAGCTAGCCACTTATTCCGAATTTGCTTTATCACATGCATGACTTTGATGTTTGAAATCGTATGCCTGAATATCATGTAAGGCGTTTATGTTATTCGTTCAAGATAAATATTCAAAATAGTCCTCTTTTTATCATAAGGAAGGATTGCGGCAGAAATACGAAAATCAAAGAATTGGGGTATGGTAGTACTGGAACCTGATTTTTGATTATGATGACACATTTGAAGCACCATCTTTTCGTTGCGAACGATTTGACAAGCATTGTATTTGGGACCACAATTTACTTACATGAGCCGATTTCATTTTTGCACCCCGGCTACTATGGGAACATAAAGTGTGTTTTCAGAATACAGCTCTACATAAAAACATATTTTTCCTCACATGTAACGCTATTGGGTTTTTGGGTTGGGTATATCTAAATACATGACATAATTTCAATTATTAGTAATTATTTATCTACAATATTTTTAAATAATTTTTTTCAATAGTCATGCCCTTTCCAATCAGCTTCAATGCACTGAAAACATGTCAGCAATCGAGGCATACATATGACGACATTTACCATCGTCATCCATCACCCATGTTAACGTTCGTCACAGCAACAAAGCAGTAACAAGATTATGAACTACAACGTTCATATTAGTGGTGTTACAACACACAATTAGGTAACGCTGCTCTAATTTTCATGGTCGGAAAAACCTATATCATTTCCCCCGGTTTTGAGTATTAGGGTCGTAGTTTGTGTTGGTTTGATCAGACGTCGGTCGTTATTACTGTATTCATTGCATGTAAAGCGCGTCAATGGCACAGAAAGCTACTAAAGCGTGTGATAAACACAGTCGAAACATGATATACGTTCGATTGTCCATACCGTTGTGCTCTTCAACCATATACTGTACATATTTATATTCCCAGTATATTTGGAGCCATAGTTTATAGCTTTGGTTCAGCATTGGGTGAACTGATTTTTTATTTGATTTATTATGCTGTTCATAAATGTGCAAATTCTTAAAATTATTACTGAGTTTGTCGTTGGTGGCGTCCTCTCAAAGACATGAATCTGTTTCTGCTGCATGCGATATTTCACACCCAATCATGGTTTGAGCAGTGAAATATTTCGTATTTATTGTGATTTTTTACGTAAATGCTCATGTCAGTAATTATTATTGGTGTGCATATGGAACACTTTTTGTTATGAATTATTCTTAATATATTCCTGAATTTTGTTCTCACACTCAGGTTTTCCCCACCAAAACATAAGAATTTCACAATGTTGAAAACGGAAAGTTGTTTGACGACTAAATATGACGCGGGAAATACCCACTCATCATAATCAACAGTGTGTGCATGTGATATCAACAAAGGTGTGCTGCTTTTTATGTTACATCATAATAGTCTGTAGGTCTACAACATTAGTAACTTAGTAACACTCACTAATGGGTCTCGTACAAAGTAACATTCTGCATTCTGTTTGATTTTAGTTTATATCTCTGTGTCGACTACATATGAAGTCCAATTCTTCTATATCTCAGCTATAGTTGTTAAATTTACCTGTTATGAAGATTTATGAAGAATGTCCTCATTATTAAATAAATGTATGATATTTACAACTCTTGTTTTCATAATGTATTTCATGCATGTATTGTTTGTGTAATGTATCCCTATGGAAGCAGAGAATTTCGAAATCGCAAATCAATTTTCAACACGTTAACCCCGTGTTACAACATTAATGATCTTTGTGTCGGTCGCGTATAATAATGCGTTCGGTTCATTTATGGAAAATCCCTGTATATCAAAGCCAGTATATCTAAACAGTCAACACTAAGCCAAGCAATGTATTAAAAATATCGGCTCCTCATTGGGCAGCCGCAGTTTCAGCCTTTTCAAACCATACGTCCAGCTGATTGCAGGTGATCACGCCCCCTTTCAGTCAGTATTCCAAGTAAACCCCCTTTGTTTACACTATAAGCTTCGTGGCAAAGGACCTTGTATTACACCTCCAACAACCCATCCAACCGACCGACCACAGATACGGCAGCCAGAATTAAATCAAACGACCACACACACATTGCATACACCACTGAGGACGGTAAATAAATACGCTCAAAATAATGTTATTATTATTATGAATGTGATTACGTTCTTATTTCCTGAATATATTTACATATATGCTACTAAAGAAATATTCATGAATAGTTATTTAGGTCAACGATTAGCATATATTGATTATAATGTATACTGTTCATATGGAATTATTGAAAACTTACAGAAAGTTGAAATGAAAATATTCAAATAGAAAAAAAATCACCACCTGTCTCATGACGAAGATTACTTTTTTGTTGCTTCCTTGGTTACACCATTTTTTTCGACCGCAAATGTAGGGTTGTCGAGCCCTTCTGGTGTACTCTGAAAAAGAAGTAAGCAGAACATATATGTTTAGATATGTTTACGATTGGTGTAAATGAGTTCTTCGAAAGTTCTGTTTGCTGATACAAATATATAATGCCTATTTAAAAAAACGAACTTCTGATCAGCAGGCACTCCATTAAGAACAGACAAGCAATGTGAATTATGAGCATGCTATGTGTTATTTACTTTGTGAAAAAAAAAATCTGTTTTTAACCAATGGCATTGAAAATGCATTTTCAGTGCATTCTGTTTGCTTTGTTTGAGAGTCAAACTGCTCATCATCTTTTGATTGTAGTCAATAGTTCAAAATATGTATTTAAAAATAACGGGATCGTGTGAGTTGAACAGCGTGTAAAACAGGATACTGACACTGACATGTTTACAAACAACTTACCACGGTCGTTGGCAAATATCATCACCATTACGAGTTCGACATCATTATCATATTATTGTCGATTTAATTATGATTGTTTAACGTATATTAATAGCATGGACATCAAACAGATTAAGTGATTTATTGTTTTCCATGTGAATCTTAATCTTAATACTTGCCGTTATACTTGCCATTCCTATTTGAACATCACATCCCTCATCCTGATGTCGGCGTTTAAGGAGGAACAAAGTAAAACAAAACATGATGAATGACACACCACTTAGGGCACAACTTGCTCCAAGGAATACCACCCGGAAGAGGTAATTGTCATATTGTGCGCATGCACCACGTTCACCTCCTTCCTCGCGCCACAGTATACACGTAGAGTCCATGAGTTTTCCAGCTACAATGCTGTACGGAATCAACACTAATAATAAGACATATATATATATTAGTGATATTCAGTATGAATAAACAATGAAGCAAAGCTGGGCACACACGGAGGTATGAATACTTACAAAGGTTACGAATTGTGCTCTTCATTCCAAGAGAATATGACTTCTTGTTTTCGTCAACACACCTGAAATATAATACGGTGAAATATCACTTGAGTGACGTTATGTGATAATTAAAGATGTTCGCCTACACGTTTTACACGTCTGTGTACACGTAACGTCACGCTTTACAGCAGTGACGTTATCGAGCCTGAGAAACATTTTCGCGTGCGCTAAAGTGCGCACAGCTGATTCTACCTAACGTGTGCATTTATTTACCTTTCGGGACTGTCACTAATATCTTCGGTGATTTGTTCGTGTAGGATTTAACTCTTACATACTCGGATAATATTTTATTCGTAATTTTATACAAAACTGATCCAACAAACTTACGACTACATAGAATTTGTTTTTATATGAATTTCGACGATTCGTTTTTTTATAAATCTACGGTACCATCGGCATTTCAGTGGGCACCTTGCCACATCAAAGTAGATCAACACAAGCAGTCCTGTATTTTGTAGAGAGGGCTAAAATGTGACCGGGAAATGAGACTTCTTTTTGTTAGTTTGCTGGTACACAACAGCAAAATGTAACTTTCATCTTTGTAATACTCCTGTCACTGAATGTATTTTTGCTTCGATTAGCTACCATTAGCAGACTATCAAAGTCATCGTAAGTATTGCAATCAGCACTGCCATTTATCTACTAATAATGCCAGTGTGAACAATTCAAACTCATTATTTTTATAAACTGCGCCATCCAATTACACTTAACGCAACGTTAACGCCTAGCCGAATAATGTATCACCACGAACGTCTATGTCACCGTGAACGCGGACTCTACCTGTACACGTAAAACGTGTATATTATTTCATCTACGAGCCTCTATGATTTATTATGTTACCTCAGACAACTCAAAAAACAAATGATATCGATTGATCAACTTAGATATATTTTTTCCATCAATTTTATGTTCATTTGACAAAGCGTCTAAGCGCGTTTGTGGACGCCGTTGTTTTTGCAAAATTTAAAAATTTGTGATGTTTTTGTGATTTCGTTATGCAATTGACTGTTGTAATTTGCTCAATATTCATAACCATGATAACAAATATGCTGCTTCCCTGTTTTTCTCGTACAGTTTTGACAATATGTTTAACGTGTTTTACATACTGTGTATTTCTTCAGTATGCAAGCTATACGACAAGATACGACGCGTTAAATGTTACGGTCCTGAATGTAAATAGGAGTAAGGGTCGTGAATCCTACTGTCAACTGAACTCGGCAAAACTAATAATATCCGTGATAAAGAACATTGATACTCTTGGGTATCTTTAGCTCAAACAAGATTCATGGGGAAATGTTACTTTCAGAATTACACAAAAAACGTTTCAGAATTGTATTTAAAATGGATTTTGTATAGTATAATAACGATTAACCTCCACTACAATCGGATATACCTAGTTTTTTTAATTAATTTTCTAGATTTGACATATGAATGCAAGATTCTCAACATTATGTAACACTATTGATTATCTAGTTGTACAATGAATGGATGAATGGATGAAGAATGTAATGTATTACTTAGCTTTGGGTTTCTCTCACAATAGTAACTATTAATAACAATTTCTTTACTTACCTTAAAGTAACCATAGTAACTGGAAGACTAATTGTAGCATTAGCTATTGCGAATACTGCCATGAAAAACATGAATCCCGCAACATAGTTACATATTGGTTCGATACACAGCTCATCTGAAGCAAATGTGCTTTCCAAGTTAATGTCGTCAATACATGCACACATGGTGTAATTCTGATAAATCCAAGGATATGAAAAGGAAAAATAGCAATATAAGTACATGTAAATTGCGAACATATAAACACGCAGCACACGAGTCTTGAACTCACAAGTAAAATTGCATGTTTTAACAAATACCATAAAATTGCTAAACTAAAAACAAACATCATTTCCGTATCTTGATTGTGTATATGTTTCATTATAATCATGCATTTAATTATATTTGTTGGTCTATGTTTACCTAAGATCAAGTAGGGGCTTTCTAGGTATTTATTACAAAGGGTCACAGTCATCGCTAAGCACGCATTTAAACGTCTCGTATACGTCACATGGAACCTGTATTAATCACGAGGCGTGAGAACTACAGCCTATCAACCAACCTTAGGACCAATACTTTCTGAACATCCTGCATAACACGGCGAGTAATAATTTAGACCATTTGAACCACAAACAGGTTGGTAATGATCTAATTTGCAGCTACAGTCTGTATTACATTCTGTGATTAGACTGCTATCCCTGTAACATACAAATGACTGTCTTGTTATAATTAAAATCATATTGCGAGCATTTGAATATGCAGCAAACGCGTTTCGAACTGCCCACTATGGTGAAATGCTTCACCACTGTAAGAGGTCGCGTACCGCAATACACTGCAATAACCGGCATTAAATACGGTTTGAAATAGCGTGTGAGGAGCGCGGATACAGTGACAAAATAAACACGTGCACATCACAAACAATCACAAACATGAAACAATGTTCAACACAATTTCATCATGAATGATTTAATATGGAAGCAATAATAACAATGAGTTCTATAACTACAGAAAACCTAGTAAAATACATTATACGTTTTAAAACATCAAGAAAAAATAATTAATGCACAGAATTTCTCTATTCAAATTCTCTAGATTGATCATAAAATGAAAAGCTCATTAATAACAACTAATGTATATTGTTTTTTGTTGTGGCATTCCTTGATTGCAAAATACGTGTGCGTGACTACTTTGAAGTTGGTCATTAAGCGAGTCTCAACGACAATAGTCCTCGATACTATATTCAAACACTTCTCAAAAAATAAAATAATTCAATTACATTGTGTTTCACTATTTGGAGATAATGAAGTCACATTGATCATCACTAACCGGCTTCTTTCCAAATAAGGGCCTTCACACGGAAACACCATGGCTAGACCATTAGACACAACGATGACACCAACTAATATTATGCAACATTTCATCAACCCAATCAGCTTTAATTTTAGTCGCTTGATAATGTATCCACAAACAAGGCAAGCCGGAAAGTTTGGAAACAGCCAAAGAAAACCTATAAGTAATAACGTCAAATAATAATTTGCAATATTATATAATAAAAGTGTTATTTTTTTTAAAAACATTGGTTACGCAGCAGAAGACAATCAGGCACTCCAACTGAAGCTGCTAACGTTAGGTGCAATATCGTGAAACATATGTTATGTACGTTCTTTATTACATTTGCGATTATAAAAAAACAAGCTTTAGTGCATACTTATTGGTTCATGGTCTATTCTAAATAGGAAATCAATATTTCCTATAAAAAGTGAATATTTGAAAGTTTCCACTGAAATGAATGTCATACATACCTATGATTAAGTTCCCAGTACTAAATGTGAAACCCAGATCTTTTTGGAAGTACTTTGGCAAGAATATTACGAAGCCTACTGGATTGTTGATAGCATAGGCAAGCACAGTCAATATAAAAATTGGATTTTTCAACATGTTCCATGCATTGACCAGTATTTCTAAAACACAAAATAGACATTCCAAAGTTATTATGACCATAATTAGGACCATAACACGTTACAATATGACAATTTACTAATATATATATTAGACAGACATTGTATCGTGATGTGCGTATATAAATATAAATCCATTTGCATATTTTTTTCCAGAAGAGCGCCGTCTAAGTGCTATGTTTAATTTCCTCATGTTCAAATCTGCCATGTTTAAAGGCGTGGTTTTATAATAAGGATTAACTAGAAATAACATACAAATCCACTATTCATATAATATGTCTAACAGGGGAAAGTACAAGTCAATGGACAAGAAACGCTGTACAAGAAGACACAAACAACACAACACAACACAAGCACAGACAAGTCAATAAAAGAATGACTTATGGACAACAAGACATACGGCCATGAAGTGATGTCAGGTGTTTCGAAAAGAATGAGCACATCCTGCTTCACATGTGGCACTCGACATATATCAGTCTAAGTCGTAGTCAGGAAGTGGTCTTCATCCTACATTGGACAAATGACATATGTTTACCAATAGAATTATATTTTCTCACAAGCGCCTGATACCTGCAAAAAATGCTCTCTAGAGGAGACTTGTGTAATTGCTTGAAATAGAGAAGTCTAGTGCGCTTCATAAATTCAGTATATGGTCTGTACGCTCTAGCATAGCGAACAAGTTGTGAAATGTATACACCATAGGCTAGAGCACGTGCAATGTTACTGAGAACGTGTGGAAAATTAACGATGGCGGAATCGAAATAATCTCTTTTGTCATACAGTCTATTAGAGATTTGACTTTTGGAGTCAAATAAACTAAATAGTAATAAATTGTCAATGTTCATTTTACAAATTTTATATTTATCTTATCATATCTTCTTTGGTATTGGTGAATTTTGAAAGTTCATATGACCGCGTTCTGAAACCGATAAATCTTACGCTCTCGACGACAATGTTTCTGCTTCAAGAAAATTGTTACCTTTCCCGTGGAGTAAAACGTTCATTCCGCTATATGAAACAACGTCGGAGTTCTTGGTATATCTGCTTTCCGACTCGGGGATCTCCCTTCGCCCTCCTGGCATTTCTCTTGGGAAGAAACAGAACAGAATGGACAGCAACAACAGGGCGATAGCTCCGCCAATTCCACCTAGCCACCATGCTCCAACCCAACGTGGATCTTTATCAGTCAGACCAATTGTGTTCATATCTACACGGTAAAAATCTACGTATATGCTGAGACAAGCAGAGCTGATGACTCCAAATCCAAGAGGTAGGCCTATGCCCCATGACGCTTCGATTATGCCTGTGTGACGTATATGTAAATAAATAAGTAACTATGAATATTAAAAAAAATAGTCAAATTTCTGAATTTTATTAACTCATTTTGTTTTACTTAAAATGTAGATACTTTCAAATATAGATTAAAACATTGATGCAATAAGTATGCTGAAAGAAAGAGATTATTCTCGCAATGATCTTAATCTTTAAATGCGTGGCTTGCAGACATATTACTTGCATTATGATAAATGATACAGTTCTAACTACAAGCATTAACTACCTTACATAAGCGACCCTGCACATAGATACACATTTTAATTATAATGTGAAAATCATTGAGACAACCTACCTATATAAAATGCCGATTTTTTGCCTGAAAAGTCGTCAACATAAGAATAACCCAGGGTACTGTAGAACGTCCCTCCAATTCCAGAAATCATACGTCCCAAGAAATACAGATTATATGCCACACGACCTTCTTGTGACTGTTCAATTTCATCTTCGTTTAACTCTTGACTTTCACTTACAGCAGTTGAACACAAGCCAAACTCACTTACACCGCCAGTATTGTTGCTGGCTTGGTCATATTCGTATGGTTCGGACAAGAACTGAAGTAGTACACACAATATAATACCAAGGCATGAAAGCAATGTTCCCACTGCCACCCATCGAGGTCTGTGATGGTTTGGCCCGCCCAGAAAATGGGCAACAAATGGAATGCAAACCAATGAACTCACTTGACTTGCAATTACCAAAGTTCCTATTTGCTGAGAAGTGAAACTGTAAATAAATTTGAGAATAGTTGCAGCAAATATTTGTCTTTGCGTGTGCAGATTTCAGTCATGAATTGTAAAATCAAATTGCCATACATTATGCCACTTTCCTGGTAGCTCAGTGTAGTAAAGCAGAGTATGTGATAACAGTATGTAACTAGACAATTATTGTAAAATCACAGTAGCTGCGGACAGAAAGTAAAACAAGTGAATAAAGCCAAACAAACAGAAGGGTAGAAACAGGAGCATAGCATTTAAAATGAAATTATAATCCATCAGAAACACGAAACTATAAAAAGTCATTTAAGTCGAAGTAAACTAGTCGAATACGCGCCGTACGTAAAAGCAAATTTCGAGTAGAATTGAAATATGTATGTATTTCACTGCCTATTTTCAAAACAAAAATGAGTTTTGAATCAATATTAATAGACCTTGGAAATAGTTATGTATTTCACTTTCTGTTTGCAAAACAACTATGCGTTTTGAATCAATATTATTAGACTTTTGAAATTGTTGTGTAGTTCACTTTCTATTTCGAAAACCAAAATGATTTTTTTCAATCAATATCATTAGAACTTTGATATATTTATTTCTAGACGTAATAAGACGCCGAGATCTTGTAGAGTCACGACAATTATATTCCGTCATCGCATCTTCTGTTTTCCTCTTATACATACTTATATACATGGTATATTTCTCTTCTTGTCGAGATGGAACCAACACCATACACATAATTCTGATTGATAAGATGTTGACAATTTACTTAATGTCTTTACCTATACCGTCGTTCAAGCGTTGGGAGGACAGACGCCATATAAGCAAACATAGCGCATTCAACAACGATCAATGTAAAGAGTAGAGCTACATATGATCTAATCTTGTGAAACCATCTAAAGCTCTTCTTCGATACGTCTCCGGTACTAACATCACAATTATCGTGGTGTTTTCTGTTTTCTGAAAATAAAGTATACTGCCCGTTGATAATGTTAGTTTGTGGTTTGTGCCGTGTGATTCATTGGACTCGTTCTAGACCTACTCTAAACAAGCTGATAGTCTGGTTGGTGATCCGCTCTGCTCAAAAAACAAGCAAAATGTTTTAGACTGTTGCCATGGTACTAGTAGGATAAGAACGTGAAGCTAACGTCGGTTTATAGCTAAAACAGAGCCCGTATACGAAGTTCGCAAAAACATTCAGTCTTCAGAAGTCACTTTACTAGGACGTATTCTGTTCTGTTGCTGAAAGTATTCGAAAACAAGTTTTTCGCCTGTTGCCATAGCAGCGGTGGGACATGATTTTTGTTCAATTAGTGACGGTATGATTTGCCTGTCAAGTATGAACAAAATCAGCCAAGACAAAAAAACACAGACAATTTGTAAAGCCGTTGCTGGTGAAAAGTTACCCCAACTCTGAGGGTAAATTTCTCTGTTATGAAAATAGACATAGAAAAACATCAATCCAAACAACATAATGATCTCTAAAGATAAGTTCCACAAATGGAGGAGAATGCAATTTACAGTTTTTTATATCACTTTTCATTCTCTGGATATTCAACGTTATATCAGTATTATGTAATCAGCCATCTTGATTCTTAAGCAAAGGATTATGGGTAAAGTTGACATCATAGAATCTGTTGTCAGAAATTGAGGAAATTATATTCCTTTGCTTGAAATCAAGATGGCTGACTACATAATACTGATGAAAAGTTGAATATCCAGAGAATGTTATAAAAAATGTAAATTGCATTCTCCTACATTTGTGAAGCTTTTTATTTAGAGGTCATTATGTTGTTTGGATTGATGTGTCCTTTAAATTTATGCCCACACTCAAGCTGAGTAGAATGAGCTACGTCCGTGCTTTTTAGTCGAGGAAATTTAGGGTGAGATGCATTTGGCGCGAAGGTATTAAAAAAATCAGTATTTTGGCTGCTGCAATGGAAACGGTGGGCCAGAATTTGTTTGCAGATTCTACAACCTAACTAGAGTGAAGGTGTGACTTGCCTGCCTAGTTTGAAATAAATCGGCCCAGCCAAAATAATCACAGAAGAGTCAAAAGTCATTCCTGGTGAACAGTTACCCCAACTTTGGCGTCAAATATCTCGGTAAAGAATAAAGATATCAAAATTCAAATAGTAACTTTGTGCCTACACTCAAGCTGAGTAGAATGAGCTATGTGTGAGGTGTTTTTTCTATGGCAACGGTTAGCTAAAATTAGTTTGAGCGAAATAGGCCAAGCCAAAAAAATCACAGAAGAATTAATACGTGAAAACACTGGAAATGACACACATACAAGCTTTTTATGTTTTTTGAGCGGAGCGGATTGCCAACCAGCCTACCGACTTTTTGTAAGTGGTTACCATGTTTTCATCATTTTGCTGTTAGTGGGGTTAAGCAAAGTGTACAAAAAGGAGGCGTTAAATAGGGCCCCATCTCGTTCTCGTATACGTACAAAATATTTAGCACGATAGCATCCACATCTAAAGTTTATAACGTGGATGTAATTTATGTACTTTATAACCATGCTATATAATTTATGGGTAAATCCTAAGCACCTGGTTGTGTCTGTAAATGAATAAAAATGCACACTAGCTGCAAGGTGATGAGGGCGAAGACTTCTATCGGTGATTATATTCCTCAAAAATTGACAGCATTTTGTAGCACCACTATAATTTGTTTTTCACCAGACTGTGAGGTAAAAATTACATTCTGGTAACACATTGCAAAACATACTTTTGATTTTAATGGCGACCAAAATGATAAGCCAGTAAAAAGTTGTAGAAAAACCAATGTTCAATGAAACAAATCATAGAGAATTGTCTTTATTATATACGTAGATACGTTATCGCCCTTTTTTTTGTAAAAATGCTATTTTCGACTTCTCCTTAAAAACTACTAGCCCGATTGCTTTCAAATTGATACTTAGTATGTAGGGTTCATGGGTTGATGATATTTAAAACACGGTATCAATTGTAATTGACATGGCAAACCCAAGATAAACTACCATGCATGGTTGTGATTTGGCAAGGACATTGGGAGACCACTAATAACCAAGGCAAATAGTTAATATCGCATCGTACAGAACAATATCAACCTTGTTTTGAGGAAGACATTCTACAATGACAGCGGAGTCATTTTGACCATTAGGTGGCTTGTTGCCGTAAACCAAAGTACTAGAATCGTAGTTCCATTGCTCATTTAATAAAGCAATGAGAATTACTTAGTTTATGTGTTTGTGCTACCATGCTTATACCTTATCCCCTCAACTAGATATGTGTGATATATGGGGAGAAAAGTAAAACAGAGTCAAAAACTTACCTTCGCAGTGGGCTTTATCCATGATGGAGTAATACGTGTGTACTCTGTAAGGCTTGGGAGGTTGCTCGCTATGACTTGCAGGATGCAAAATGAACGTGATTTCATACTGTGACCTCCCTTGTCAGCACTTTATACTTACATGTTTATGTCAACTGACTGCCAATTAAATGTCACTACTCCATGTATGTACGTTTCATATTAACAAAACATATTGACAGGTGTATTCAGCGTCACGTAATGGTGACTTGTAATAAATTTCATTCTTCAAACACGTTTTAACGCCAAACAAATGTTTTTGTCGTGAAGTCCTAATCATGACGACATAAATGATTTTTTAAAGAAATTTGTAAAAAGAAATTTAACATTAACTTCGCAGAATGCGTTGTGATTTGTAACGTCATTTAAAATTTATAAAGCGATTATAAATATTCACACCGTCATGAAAACACTAAATATTGTTTACAATCGATAAACTCCACGGGTTATAAACTGATTTTTATATGTTTGATTAAGGGGGCGTAACACTAACGCTACTTAAAGATAGTCATACTTTTTCTTTTCGATCAACAGCTTGATAAGAGTCATGTAATAAAATATGCAGTAATGCACTATACGCTGGGGCTTCAGTTCGATGCAACTTTGCCAGTAAAACACGTTGCGCAGATGTGGATATGACAACAATCGGATGTTCAACGTACTGTTATTCTTCATTCGGTAAAATACTGCCGGCGCAAGCCAGCCGTTGACAAATTAGAGCACAGAGATTGAGCGGGTCCTTTGTTCTTGACAACTGACTTGACTGACTGTCTATTCATTGACAGTGAGTCGATCAGTCACAATAACCGCATTGGTTAGTTGGCATACTAATCCACAATACTATGCTAGATTATGTTAAATATATTGAATTGCCATATCAGAGAAGTACTAATAGTAAATTGAAATGAAATATATCTAATGATAAACACGTACATATTGTTCAGTGGTATATATCACACTGGATGTAATCTAGTTTAGTGTATACAATGACTTCAAAACACACATTAACATAAAATGCTATTGTTGCATATTTTAGTACAATAGTCGGCGTGACTATTTTTCTTGAAGACACGTCACGTTGCAAGTTTTAATGCACTACAGGACATCTTACAAATTGCATGGACGCACATGCAGGGGTCAATGACATTTTGCAGTATAACCTTATACTTGTGACTAAAGTGATAAATTACTCTGTTCAACCTTTGACCTATCACGTGAACCAACTCATAAAGAAATAAACGTTGAACTAAATTCTTAATAAGGTCAAATTAGAAGCTGTTTTTACTCTGAATTACTTAAAAAAGTTGATGGTCATTAGCCGATTTGAATTTCCAATGGGGAATAATTCCGAACCATCCGCCCCTGTCACCCCAAAAGTTATCCACAGTTCACATGTGTTACTTATCTCGACTCAATCACAACTTTAATTTCCACTGATAACAAATATGAACTCAAATCACGTACCGGTACTCAATGTAGCCATATCAGTCGCCATCAGGACATTCATAAATAACGCGGTTGTGAGATGAGGGAACCTAAATCGGGTAACTATGTTAAGTGCGAACGGAGTAAGTGCCATGTTCTTGATAGATGACTTGCGTGTTGGGAATTTGTTTAAAGTGAGGAAGACTTGCGCACCGCCGAATTTTTTCTATCATTCGAGACCATCGAACTTCAGTGGCAAAACAAGTCGAAACGGCTGGTGCCAGAAACGGATGCAGTGGATAAAAAAGAAGTTCTTTTGTGCCTAACCATGCCCTAAGCACTCTTCTAAGCATCGCCATCTTCTCCGTTGAACCAATCGAGTGGTTGCTTCTGCAATGTCCGCCAGCGACCAGCATTATTGTGCATTGGTAGGCAACCATATAATGCGTAAATCATTACATAGTTTTGAGGCCAAATTAAAATCGATGTTTGCCGAATTAAAATCCCCGAGTATTAACCCTACCACTAAAAATATCAGAATGACGTCATTGGGCGAGCTACCATGTCACATGTACAATAATGGTGATTTCAGGAGGGCATGCATGAATGTTGCACGGTTCAGGGTTGTGTATTAATTTCCGTTGCCCGTAGGTATATATCAGCGGAGTTATTTTGATGTGTCCAGTGATGTATATAAAACAATATAATAGTACTTTTCATAACTTCAAACAATATACAAATATATCTAATGATAACCTGAAACATCAAATCCGGCAGACTTATGTATACGAATTTATTTTAGTTTTGTTTTTAATGAAAAGTATAACAAATTTCAAATTAACGGTCAGTTCAAACAGTAAACTAATTTAACAGTAATAAAAGATGTAGTGTGTTTTGAATCATATTGAGGGGTATAAAGTAATCGTCAAATAATATGATGAACAAGTTGTTAGTTATACGAAGCACAAATATCATTGGCTGTTTAAAATTATTCATCTAATCTCATCATGAATATCTACATATTCCTGTACTTGAAATTCAACTTCACTACGGCGATATATTCCCTACTACATCGGTCATTTGCGATATAGTGCACCAGTAGATTTCAGGATTTAGTTAATGTAAGGTCAGTTTATTTAGACCAATGAGAGCACTGACACCTTCCCGACGTTTGACGTGTCTCTTAGTTCTTGGGTTACTCGAACAAATTCCTTGCACGGAGTAGCGTTCTCATAATTGTCCAACCGAAAAGAATACAACAAAACTGTGAGTACAGGTGTGATAGTTACACAGGGTGTCTTTGTTTAAGTGGCCATACTTGGACGAGCAACAGGAGCACGTATCACTCATGGCGTCTTATTAGCCGTTTTAGTTTGTCATACCAAAATCATGACGACATATACAATATTAATATGTGCCTATAAATCTATTTATAGTGATCTATAAATTGTTGTGAAATTTCTGAAATAATCCTTCCTTTAATTGTGTAAATATTGATATTTTTTCATACTGATACTACATTTTTTTCAAAACCGAGTAAATTTTTCATAATCAAAGTTTAATGGCAACATCCTGTTATCAGCGTATTGTGAACAACAGCAACATAAAATAAAACCATATACTCTAAAACTAAAATCATCTGAAGATCAGTTTTAATGGTAGCAAACTGATTTGCTTTTAGCATAATCGGTTGATGAAGCCACATAAATATTGTACATCGGTGAACTCCATACAATATATGTGCATCTAACTTTCAGGGATTATGTAGTCATACTCAAATAATCGGCAAATAAATATCGTGTGTTTTTGTCATTTCCACTCACAGAATTACAAGTGAATTATGTATTGTACCGAGATGTGCGCGTTTTATTCCGTTTATGTTTATTATGATGTTGACCGCCATTGCTAAGTGTAGCACTGATTTACCAAGCACCATGGTTTTATTAAGGTCAGTTAGTTATAATCACATATAAGCAAGTACGTTCACATTATGTAACCCAGTGAATAAGTCCTGATGCCAGTGTAATCTGTCTTAGTGCACGTGACGAAATATTTATGGATTAAGTGATTGAATGTATAATACATGTATTACGAAAACAAATTCCGTTCAACTAACTAACTAAATCTAGCATAAATATCACCGTACGTTACCATGACAAAACTGTCACTGTGCACATGTCTCACATGTTTATTTCATCATGACAAGTGTGTTGATGACGGTAAGAAGTCATTTGCAATTGGAATTAAAACCGTCATAGGCTCACTAATAAGTTGGGTATTTGTATTTGGAACGTACGAATTACAATCACGAATTCCGAGCCCCGTATTTTCCCTTCCAATCAGGGAATTCCAAAGCATCCTGGCATTCTGCCAAAGAAAGTATATGGACCTCAAAATGACATTCCATCCGTGCTTTTCCAATTATGTTCCTGAGATATAGCAAAGTTCACGGAATTTTTAGAATAAGGTAACAAATCTGCCTATCATTTCTGAATTAATATTGTTTGCACGAATCATGAACTTCTTTGCCCAGAAAACCAAATAACATTCTGCAACACGTTATTAAGTAATACTAATTTGCGTAGCAATTTAACTACGCCACGTAATGCATGCCTATCATACGATGATGTATCTGCATCACGAAGTAGTAAGTATGCATCCTGTAATATTGTCTTCGCATCGTAATAGCATGTTATAACATAGTATATTTACATCACGAGTCATCATAATGAATTGATGTATTCGTATCATGTGAAGGCATGTCAGCATCCTGTATCGATGTATCACATAATGATTTGTGTAGTGTATTGAATGCCACCATATGCCTTTCTATATTTATGCAGCATTCGTGATGTCTTGTGATATGTGACATACAACGTACCTCTGATTCAACCCAACTATCCGCCCACCTACTTACTTATACTTTGTTGTTTAATTGAGTGTTCTTTTAGTATCCAGACTCATTGATAGCATATGCTTTCTCCGGCGAGAGAAATGTGGTGTACGCGGAGCATGCGCACAATACAACAACGCCATGTGTACTGTTCATAGGAGCAGACATTTCCGTCAGGATAGTTGCTGTATTGTTCTACAGCAGTGCTTTATTTATACTCAGAAAACGACAAGTTAAAAGTCCAAGTCGAAAGTGCAGTCCTGGAGAGACTTGGGGCGAGCCTTGACGCAGTCTAAAAGAGTCTTGGGTCAGCCTTGCGATAGTCTTGGGGATTTTTCCCCAGGGCGCTGTGTCTGATAGAGTGCTCGATTGACCGACTAAGACGAGAGCTGAAACGTATTTCGTTGTGTGTGTCTTATTTGACTGTAAAGTATAAGTGACTTTCCCGATCCCGCACCTCAAGGGAACGAGATATATAGATGAGACGAGATTCCCCCCTGACAAGTGTGGAGACCCCCGTGGAGAAGAATTCCCCCCTGATAAAACTATACAGTATAATTTATTATGAATCACGGCAAGGCTCCTCAGTTATGCATTGTATGAATATATTCTCTGGATGCAAGTCTAAAAAAATCATATGTAGGATCAACTAACGACAACCAAGTTACTTTAACTCAGACATTTCCTTTTTTGTCTTAAACAGGAACCCAACGATATCTCGGGCAGACTTCTCGAGAAGACACGAGTTTCTCATGTGCCTAAAACCAACGACAATTGACGAACATGTTCATCTTCACGCCTATTTGTTTTTTTATAATTATTTTGAGTTATTTTAATTTCACTAAATGTTTTATGACTTGGGATTTGTTGATCTTTTTATTCTTATTGTACCCTTCTATACTAATATATATTCAATCAGTTAGCCAATTATTAACGGGCGTCAGTCGTATATATAGGCAGCAGCAATATGGCCCTGACGAGTAGTTTTACCGCAGAGGAGGCGAGCGCCCGCTATAATATAATTGAGCCATATTATATGCGTTCATTACTGTTCTAAACATGTATATAAGCGTGGTTTTTTAAACATAAATAAAATATGTTTTCTCTATAAAAGTTATTTTTATGTTTCATGATTCTGTGGTGTTCTATATAATAAGTAAATATTTTTTAATGATGCAATGATGAAGAAATATTTTACAATTTCAACGATAAGGAAATTATACTGCAAATTTAGTTTTAGTTGATTTTTGCGACACCATCGCAGGTTGTGTGTTACTACATCGTATGTATGTTACGTAAACTTTTGTATAGAAGTGCAATGGGCGAATAATGTATCTATTTATCATAGTATGTATGTTACGTAAACTTTTGCATAGAAGAGCAATGGGCGAATAATGTATCTATGTAACATGATGCATCCAGTCACAAATGATCTGCTTATCTCATTTAATGACAATGCATTCATACAGCTCGCCAATATGACACCAGTTTTGGCACAGGGAGCATAGAAATTAAAATGAAATTATAATCCATCAGAAACACGAAACTATAAAAAGTCATTTAATTCATAGTGAGGTGAGTCGAGTAAAGGTGCTTATTCACTTTCATATTTGTTGCCAAGTTTAACATCAGGGGTTGTGTGCACAACACAGTTTTCCACTTATTAAAAAAATGTTGCCCAAAATACATAAATGGTTTATTACAGGGCAAGGATAAAACCTGAGGGTGTTGAGTATTTTGACCAGAGTCTGAGACATTGAGAAACTAGAGAATTTGAAGGTATGCGAGAAGTAAACAATTGCAGAAAAAAAATCATGTCAACGCTTAACCATTAAATTATGATCAACAGCCTATGAATGGTGTATTACCTTGAAATAAATTCGTTACGTCAAGTGAGCACACTCGAAAAAAAATGAGGCCGCGACCTCGTTTGCATTCACAAAGAAATCAGAAATGTGGACGGTGAGTTACGTAATGACCTCAATTTAGACATTTTAACGTGAAAACATTACTAGGTATAATGATGAATGTCAATTATTAACCTGTACCGTGTATCACATATGTAAGTCAACGTCTCCACATTGATAGTTGACTCACGTAAACACATAGTGTTACATTGGTAATATGGGAGATATATAACAGCTAAATGTTTAAAGTAATGTCTAAAGAACTTGAAATCGCCAAAATTTAATTTGAAGTAAGACACAAAACAGCGCAATTATCTCAGAGTTGAAATTGAGAAGGGTAAGCCGAAATGAGCAGTCACTGTATACAATCATGAAGAAACACATTTATCTCATTAAACTGAGCCAAAAATACAGAACTGATAGTGAAAAGACTAAGATAATCAGTATGCACGGGATTTAAACCGAAAAATAATAAACTCGAATAGCATCTATGTATCAAATTTCATTAAAATCTGATAATTGGTTCTTGGGATATCAATGGAACATACAATAATAAACATCTACTTTGGCCACCATGTTTATTCGCTCATACCCATAACAAAGGGAACATAAATAAAAAATAGCTCGTGATATTACAATGCAGTCAACCCTCACATTATATCAATTAATTACACATCAAACCAGTTCCCTCTGTTATACTTATATATTGTCATAGGGTAAACTATTTGAATAGTCGCACTCATTCATTACAACTACGTATTTCCTGTAATTTATAAGGGGTGACATGCAGAACAAAAACAAAAGGACATATCATGGACACTAATAAAATATAGAGGGCAGCATACCAACTCATATATATCATGTCGGCCGATCGTTGTTGTAGTTCGTCAATTGTCGCTATTGTTCTCTACTGTGTCAACGACACTTTTCTCCTGAATCGTTAAGTTTATTTGTTGGAATCTTGTCACATTCACTGGTTAATTATAAACACCATCAAACCAAAGTTGTTCGCTCATGATAAAATTGGAACTTACACCTAACTTTTAAAAGGAAAAAAGTGACCCGTAATTATACATTGTATAAGGTGTGCCGTGTACATCCGGGATGTATTTTTTCTGATCTGATCATATGCCCATTGTTCATCTACATAAAAGGAGTTACACAGCAACCACGATGAGGTTTGAGGGAAATTTACCAAATTGGCTATAAAAATTATTGTGATCCGGTATACGTCCACATACCTGATGGGTAACTTCATGTGTTTCTTATGCAGATTGTAAATCAGCTACACTTGCATTCATATACAGAATGTATATATCTGTATTTATATGCCAAGTCTAAATGCTACAGATAACTGTATCCTAATTTCAGTCTTTACTGTACTACAAATATTTCTGGGAATTGAATTACCAGTACAGGGATATGTAGATATTGATGGTGAGATTAAATATAGTTTCGAACAGCCGATAGCATTTTTCTTCATATAACTAGCAACTTGTTCACCTCATTATTTGACATTACTTTAAACTATACATAAGAGTGTTTCAGGTTACCATTAGATATATTTGTATTTTGTTGAAGCTTTAAAGCCAGTGAAAGTACTATTGTTTGATACATACATCGCTAAACACAGCAAAATGACCACGCCAGTATATACGTACGAGCAACTGATAATAATACATAACCCTGAACTGTGCAACATTCATGCATGCCCTCCTGAACTCGCCTCTGTTGTACATGTGGCGCGGTAGCTCACCCCAATGACTTCATGCTGATATAGAATTACTACTCGGGGAATTTATTTCGACAAACTGCCTCCGCTGATACCATGAAGTGGAATGCAAAGCCTCAAGGCCCCAAAACTTGTTTACGAGTATTATAAGTGTTTCACGTGATAGGTCAAAGGTTAAACAGAGTAATTTATCACTTTGGTCACACGTGGAAAGTTATACTGCAAAATGTCATTGACCCCTGAATGTGTGTCTATGCAATTTGTAAGTTGTCCTGAAGCGCCATAAAACTTGCAACGTGACGTGTCTTCCAGGGACCTCGTCACGCCGACTGTTGTACAAAAATATGCAACAATGCATTTTACGTTAATGTTTGTTTTGAAATCATCGTACACACTAGACTATCTGTTAATTTCTCTGAGCTCTGTTTTGAAGTTACTTGGCTGGCGTAATAAGTCTTTTTTTTCTTCAACGATTAAAATTTTACAGAACAACTCCGCGAAAACAACAAATGCAGTTCACTCTGTGTAATTATAAATCACATCCTTACTGTTACGATTCTGATTGTAACCTACTTATTGAAGACGAATCATTTGGCACAAATATGGATGTCAAAATGTAAGTGCTATAAATTGTATCATTAGAGGCAGTGTTTGTAGACGTACTTTACAAGGGTCACATGAAGTTTGATGGATTTGTCGAGACAAAGAGTGCATTGTGGACATGTCACGACACTGCCCTTAAATAACAACATTTATACTCCTACCTATATACCATATAGTATACCTACGTGACAGTCATTTGGCATGAGCACGTAGATGGAAAGTGTTGACAAGGGAGGTGTTAGTATAAAATCACGTTCATTTTTCATCGTGCAAGTCGTAGCGAGCAGCCTTCCAAACCTTACAGAGTAGACATGCATTACTCCATCATGGATAAAGCCCACTGCGACGGTAAGTGTTTCTGTTTTAATCCCCCCCCCCACATATTACACATATCCAGTTGACGGGATACGGTATAAGGATGGTAGCACAAACACACTGACTCAGTAATGCCCATTCAGAGGCGGCGGGACAAAATTTTGCATGAGGAGCGGAATCTGCTCAGCAACCTTACTATGGGATCCGGGGCATGGTCCCTCTCAACAATTTTGAAATCTGACACTCCGAAACGCTATTTCCTGTATATTGAGGAACACATTTTGCGGACACAAAGGGTTTCAGCTTGATGTTGGAGGACGACGCCCCCATTTTTTGCGAGGGGCGCCTATGCCGCCGCCACTGCCATTGCGTTATTCTGCAAGACAATACAGCAATGAGACTACAAATCTAGTAGTACTTTGGTTGATATTGTTCTGTACGATGCGATCTTAACTATTTGTCATGGTTATTAGTGTTCTCCCATTGTCCTTGTCAAATCACATCCATGGTAATTTATCTGGTTGGGCCATGTCAATTACAATTACCGTGTTTTAAATATCATGGCGATCAACCCATGAACCCTACGTACTGAGTAAAAGAGCAATCAAGCTAGTAGTTTTCAAGAAAAAGTCGAAAATAGCATGTTTTACCAAAAATGACAAATATATTCTGCTAAAATAAAAGAATTGAACCAAATGAACAAATTTGACAGACGGACATCCTAATTTCCTACATACAAGGTACAAAAAAAGCGGTAAAGTATCTACGTATAATATTAATCATTTATAATTTTCTACCATTGCACATTTTTTTCTAAAACTTGTTACTGGTTTATCATTTTTGACCTATTAAATGAGTTGTATTTTTTTTTCAAAAGTGTGTTTTGCAATGTGTTACCAGAATGTCAAATTTGATTTAAAGTCAGCTACAAACAAATTATAGAGGTGCTAAAAAATGCTGTCAATCGCTGATCCTATGGGACGCCCTCTTCTCGTACACTCTACTCAAAGTGTCTTTGAAATGCCTATCCACATATATCCCATTTACATTTATTTATTTTTTAGTTGAAAGTGATTACTCGTATTTATTTATTTATTTATTTATTTATTTATTTATTTATTTATTTATTTATTTATTTATTTATTTATTTATTTATTTATTTATTTATTTATTTATTTATTTATTTATTTATTTATTTATTTATTTATTTATTTATTTATTTATTTATTTATTTATTTATTTATTTATTTATTTATTTATTTATTTATTTATTTATCTGTGTACTGATTTGCAGTACACAGTTGATCGCGGCGACCAGCTACGCAAAAAGGGATATATTTCGTATCTGACACTGTACAAAATATTTGATAATATGTGTTCTTTATGCTCTTCCTCGAGAAACAAGTACATGCAAACAAAATAAGAAATGAGATGTATATAAATTATCGGCAATGCACGCTGCCAGCTTGTTCCACTTTATACGTCGCAAGGGTATGTGAGTATGCAAATGAGAATGTAGTGAGAAGCCTCGTTTTAAAATACGTAACAATTAAATTGGCGTAGAGTAGAGTTTGAAACCCATTTTCTCACTTCACTTTTTCAAAATTTATTTTGTATTTCATAACATAAAAAATAACAATATTGATAGCTGGCATTTCGCATGCACTTTAACCTCACTACTCGAAAAATGCTGGAAAATTATTAACACCACTTACAATATACATACATGTTGCATGATAGTTTAATATTTAGAGTATGTTATATTCTAGAATGAATCTAATGAATCACACGACACGGACTAACATTATTAACTGGAAATATATTGTACTTTATTTTCAGAAAATAGAAGTCACCAGGATAATTGTGATGATCGTACGGGAGATGTATCGAAGAAGAGCTTTGAATGGTTTCACAACATTAGATCATATGTAGCTTTACTTTTTACTTTGATTGTTGTGGAAAGCGCTATGTTTGCTTATATAGCGTCTGTCCTCACAACGCTTGAACGACGATATAGGTGAAAGACATTAAGTCAATTGTCAACATCTTATCTAGCAGAATTATGTGAACGGTGTTTGTTTCACCACGACAAGATGAGAAAAATACAATATATATAGGTATAGAAATGAGAGGAACATAATATAATAACATTATTTAAGGGGAAACACAATTGTCACTGGTAAACAAGATCTCGGCGTCTGACTGCATCTAGAAGGTTTATTAATATTGTATAAAATCTCATAGTTGTTTTCATAATAGAAAGTGAAATGCATAAATATTTCAAAGGTCTATTAATATTGATTCAACATTCAGGTGTTTTGAAAAAAAGTAAAATACATACATTTTTCAAAGGTCAATTAATCTTGATTTAAAACTCATAGTTGTTTTTATAATTGAAAGTGAAATACATAACTATTTCAAAGGTTTAATAATATTGATTCAAAATGCATAGCTGTTATGCAAATAGAAAGTGAAATAGATAAATATTGCGACGGTTTATTAATATTGATTCAACATCCCCAGTTGTTTGGAAAAAAAAAGGTAAAATACATAATTGTTTCAAAGGTCTATTAATCTTGATTTAAAACTCATAGTTGTTTTTAAAATTGAAAGTGAAATACATAATTATTTCAAAGGTTTAATAATATTGATTCAAATTGCATAGTTGTTTTCATAATAGAAAGTGAAATGCATAAATATTTTGAAGGTCTATTAATATTGATTCAACAATCACAGTTGTTTTGAAAAAAAGTAAAATACATAAATTTTACAAAGGTCTATTAATTTTGATTTAAAACTCATAGTTGTTTTTTTATTTGAAAGTGAAATACATAAATATTCCAAAGGTTTAATAATATTGATTCAAAATGCATAGTTGTTTTCATAATAGAAATTGAAATGTATAAATATTTCAAAGGTTTATTAATATTGATTCAACATCCACAACTGTTTTGAAAAAAAAGTCAAATACATAAATGTTTCAAAGGTCTATTAATTTTGATTCAAATCTCGTACTTGTTTTCATAATAGAACGTGAAAAACATAAGTGTTTCAAAGGTCTATTAATATTTACTCAAAACTGACAATTGTTTTGAAAAAAAGTAAAATACATAAATTTTCCAAAGGTCTATTAATCTTGATTTAAAATTCATAGTTGTTTTTATAATTGAAAGTGAAATGCATAAATATTTCAAAGGTCTATTAATATTGATTCAAAACTCATAGTTGTTTTGAAAAAAAGTAAAATACATAAATTTTACAAAGGTCTATTAATCTTGATTTAAAACTCATAGTTGTTTTTATATTTGAAAGTGAAATACATAACTACTTCAAACGTTTAATAATATTGATTCAAAATGCATAGCTGTTATGCAAATAGAAAGTGAAATAGATAAATATTCCGACGGTTTATTAATATTGATTCAACATCCACAATTGTTTTGAAAAAAAAGTAAAATACATAACTGTTTCAAAGGTCTATTAATATTGATTCAAAACTCATAGTTGTTTTCATAATAGAACGTGAAAAAAAATACATAAAGGTTTCAAAGGTCTATTAATATTTACTCAAAACTGACAATTGTTTTGAAAAAAAGTAAAATACATAAATTGTTCAAAGTTCTGTTAATCTCGATGTAAAACTCATAGTTGTTTTTATAATTGAAAGTTAAATACATAACTATTTCAAAGGTTCAATAATATTGATTCAAACTGCATAGTTGTTTTGCAAATAGAAAGTGAAATAGATAAATATTCAACATCCACAGTTGTTATGAAATAAAGTAAAATACATGAATGTTTCAAAGGTTTATTAATATTTACTCAAAACTGACAATTGATTTGAAAATTAAAATACATAAATATGTCAAAGATCTAATAATATTCATTCAAAACTGATATTTTTTTGAAAATAGAAAGTAAAATACATAATTATTCCAGTAAACTTGGCAAATCTCCTATGAGTGGTGCATAACAATACCGCCAATTAAACTTAACAAAATCAAATTAGTGCGTTATTCCTGTGTTATTATCTTTTTACATACTGTTATCGCATACTCCGATTTACTACACTGAGCTACCGGATACAAGGTAAAGAGGTTATTTATGCCAATTAGAACTCGCAATCCACGACTGATATCTGTGAACGCAAAGACACATATTTGCTGCAATTAATCTCAAATTTATTTACAGTTTCACCTTTCAGCAAGTAGGAATTTTGATAACTTCCAGTCAAGTGAGTACATTGGTTTGCACCCCATTCGTTGCCTATTTTCTGGGCGGACCAAACCATCACAGACCTCGATGGGTGGCAGTGGGAACATTGCTATCATGCCTTGGTATCATGTTGTGTGTACTACCTCAGTTCTTGTCCGAACCATACGCATATGACCAAGCCAGCAACAACACTGATGGTGAGATTGGCTTGTGTTCAACTGCTGCAAGAGAAAGTCAAGAGTTAAACGAAGATGACATTGAACAGCCACAAGAAGGTCGTATGGCATTTAATCTGTATTTCCTGGGACGTATGATTTCTGGGATTGGAGGGACGTTTTACAGTACCCTGGGTTATTCTTATGTTGACGACTTTTCGGGCAAAAAATCAGCATTTCATATAGGTACGTTGTCTCAATGGCTTTTACATTATAAATAAAATGTTTATCTATGTGCAGGGTCGCTTATGTAATTGTCTCCGTTTAAAATATCATGTACGGGTAGTAAATGCTTGTATTTAGAACTATATAATTTATCATGGTGAAAGTAATCTTTCAGACACGCATTTAAAGTTAAGATCATGGCAAAAATAATCTCTTTATTTCAGCATACTTATTGCATTCAAAGTTTTAATCTATATTTGAAAGTATCTAAATTTTAAGTAAAAATAATAATGAGTTAATAACATTCAGAAATTTGTCTCTTTTAATATTCATAATTACTTATTTATTTATATATATACGTCACACAGGCATAATCGAAGCGTCATGGGGCATAGGCCTACCTCTTGGATTTGGCGTCATCAGCTCTGCTTGTCTCAGCATATATGTAGATTTTTACCGTGTAGATATGAGCACAATTGGTCTAACTGATAAAGATCCACGTTGGGTTGGAGCATGGTGGTTAGGTGGAATTGGCGGAGCTGTTGTTTCTGTCCATTCTGTTATGTCTCTTCCCAAGAGAAATGCCAGGAGGGCGGAGGGAGATCCCTGAGTCGGAAAGCAGATATACCAAGAGCTCTGACGTTGCTTCATATAGCGGAATGAACGTTTTACTCCACGGGAAAGGTAATAATTTTTGGAAGCAGAAACATTATCGTAAAAAGCGTAAAATTTACCTGTTTCAGAAGATATTAAAAGTTAAATATAAAATATGAAAAATGAACATTGACAATTTATTACTATTTAGTTTATTTGACTGCAAAGAGCAAATCTCTACTAGACTATATGACAAAAGAAATGAATTCGATTTCGCCATCATTAATTTTGCACATGTTTTCAGTAACATTCCACGTGTATTCATTTCACAACTTGTTCCATATACTAAATTAAATGAAGCGCCATACACTTCTCTATTTCAAGCTATTAGAACAAGGCTTATCTAGAGAGCATCTTGCCAGGACATTCAAAAAATTTATTTGCAGATATCAGGCGCTTGTGAGAAAATATAATCGTACTGTTAAACAGATGTCATTTGTCCAATGTAGGATGAAACCACTTCCTGACTACGACTTAGATTAATATATGGCGAGAGCCGCATGTGGAGCAGAATATTCTCACTCTTTTCGATACACCTGACCACTGCCAATTTTCAATACCACTGCATGACCGTATGCCTTGTTGTCCATATGTCATTCTTTCATTGACTTGTCTGTGTTTGAGTTGTGTTGTTTGTGTCTTCTTGTACAGCGTTTTTGTCCATTGACTTGTACTTTTCCCCGTTAGACATATTTAACGTTATGGCCTTAATTATGGTCATAATAACTTGGGAATGTCTATTTTATGTTTTAGAATTACTGGTCAATGCATGGAACATGCTGAAAAATCCTATTTTTATATTGACTGTGCTTGCCTATGCTATCAACAATCCAGTAGGCTTCGTAATATTCTTGCCAAAGTACTTCCAAAAAGATCTTGGTTTCACATTTAGTACTGGGAACCTAATAATAGGTATGTATGACATTCATTTCAGTGGAAAGTTTCAAACATTCACTTTTTATAGGAAATATTGATTTCTATTTAGAATAGACCATGAACCAAGAAGTATGCACTAGAAGCTTATTTTTTTTATAATCGCGAATGTATTTTTTAAATCATACCAAACGGAAGTATCAACATAACTGCTGTGATTAAATAAAACTGGGCTTCACACGGAAACTTCATTATGACTTTGAATAATATATGGCGGGTGCAAAATGTGGAGCAGTGCTTTTCAAAACACTTGATATCACTTTTCAAAACACTTGCTACGCTCACGATATGATCTGTATACCCTCTTACTAATTAGACGGAGTATTTGTCTGTCTTTTACGACTTGTGTTATAATATTTACGGCTAGAAATGTTATTCCCACTTAGCAAATCCAAAAAAAAGTATTGTGAGCATTCAACATATTTTCACATGCAGTTTTGAAAAAAATCAATATATTGGGATTCAAATAACATAATAAAGAACGTTAGCAATTTCATTTGGAATGGCTGATTGTCCTCTGCTGCGTAACCAATGTTTCAAAAAATACACCAGCACTTTTATGATATAATATTGCAAATTATTATCACTTATAGGTTTTCTTTGGCTGTTTCCCAACTTTCCCGCTTGCCTTGTTTGTGGATACATTATCAAGCGACTGAAATTAAAGCTGATTGGGTTGATGAAATGTTGCATAATATTAGTTGGCGTCATCGTTGTATCTAATGGTCTAGCCATGGTGTTTCCGTGTGAAGGCCCTTATTTGGAAAGAAGCAGGTTAGTGATGAACAATGTGACTTCATTATCTCTAAATATTGAAACACAATGTAACTGAATTATTTTATTTGGTTTTGAGAATATAGTAACTGAGGACTATTGTCGTTGAGACTCGCTTAATTAAAATGACAAACTTCAAAGTAGTCACGCACACGTATTTTGGCAATCACGGAATGCCACAACAACAAAAACAATATATATTAGTTGTCATTAATGAGTTTTTCTTTTTATAATTAAGCTAGAGCGATGTTTTAAAACGTATAAAATGTTTTACTAGGTTTTCTGTAGTTATCAGACTCATTTTTATTATTTCTCCTATATTAAATCATTCATTCATTGTGTTGAAAATCGTTTCATGTTTGTGATAGTTCGTGACGTGTGCACATGTTTATTTAGTCACTGTATCTGCGCTCATTACACGCTATTGCAAGCCGGTTATTGCAGTGTATTGCGGTACGCGACTTCTTACAGTGTTGAGGCGTTTCACCATAGTGGGCAGTTCGAAACACGTTTGTTGCATGTTCAAATGCTCACAATATGATTTTAATTATAACAAGACAGTTATTTGTATTTTACAGGGATAGCAGTCTAATCACAGAATGTAATACAGACTGTGACTGCAAATTAGATCATTACCAACCTGTTTGTGGTTCAAATAGTCTCAATTATTACTCGCCGTGTTATGCAGGATGTTCAGAAAGTATTGGTCCTAAGGTTGGTTGATGGGCTATATAGTTGTCACACCTCGTGATTGATACTGGTTCCATGTGACGTATACGAGACGTTTAAAATGCACACTGTTCGCATGAAATTTAAATGCGTGCTTAGCGATGACTGTTTCCCCTTTTGTAATAAAAACCTAGAAAGCCCTTGCTTGATCTAGGGTAAACGTAGAACAACAAATATAATTAAAAGCATGATTATAATGAAACATATACATAATCAAGATATAGTTTAGCAATTTTATGGTATTTGTGCAGACATTGAATTTTACTAACGATACACCAGTATAAAATCAGGGGCGGATCTAGGATTCTGAAATAGGGGGGGGGGCGATAAGTTGGCCTAATGCCAAGTTCGCGAGCGCCGATGGCTCGAAGCCCTGTTGGTTGTTAAAAATAGGGGGCCGCGGCCTCCTCGGCCCCATCTAAATCCGCCAATGAAAATCTTCGCAATTTGCATGTACTTATATTGCTATGTTTTTTTTCATATCCTTGGATTTGTCAGAATTACACCATGTGTTCATGTATTGATGACATTAACTTGGAAAGCACATTTGCTTCCGATGAGCTATGTATCGAACCAAAATGTAACTATATTGCCGGATTCATGTTTTTTATGGCAGTATTCGCAATAGCTAATGCTACAATTAGTCTTCCAGTTACTATGGTTACCTTAAGGTAAATAAAGACATTGTTATTAATAGTTACTATTGTGAGAGAAACCCAAAGCTAAGTATTACAATACATTCTTCATCCATTCATTGTACAATGTTGAGAATCTTGCATTCACATGTCAAATCTAGAAAATTAATTAAAAAAACTAGGTAAATCCGATTGTAGTTGAGGTTTATCGTTATTATACTATACAAAATTCATTTTAAATACAATTCTGAAACGTTTTTTGTGTTGCTTGTGTAACTCTGAAAATAACATTTTCCCATGCATCTCGTTTGAGCTAAAGATACCCAAAAGTATCAATGTTCTTTATCACGGATATTATTAGTTTTGCCGAGTTCAGTTGACAGCAGGATTCACGACCCTTACTTCTATTTACATTCAGGACCGTAACATTTAACGCGTCGTATCTAGTCGAACTGCTTGCATACTGAAGAAATACACAGTATGTAATACACGTTAAACATAGTGTCAAACTGTACAAGAAAAACAGTGGAGCAGCATATTTTTTACCAGGGATATGATTATTGCGCAAATTGCAACAGTCAGTTTCATAATGAAATGACAACAAAATCACAAATTTATGAATTTTCGAAAAACAACGGCGTCCACAAACGCGCTTTGATGCTTTGTCAAATGAACATAAAATTGATGATAAAATATATTTAAGGCAATCGAAGTTGATCAATCGATATCACTTGTTTTTTGAGTTGTCTGTAGCAAACTAACAAAAAGAAGTCTCATTTCCCGGTCACATTTCTAGCCCTCACTACAAAATACAGGACTGCTTGTGTAGATCTGCTTTGATGTGGCACGGCGCCCACTGAAATGCCGATTGTAGCGTAGATTTAAAAAAAAATCGTCAAAAATCATATTAAAAATATAAATATCTGATCAGTTTCATGTAAAATCATGAATAAAATATTGTCCCATTAACGTTCCTAAAGCTCGATGACGTAACTGCTGCAACGCGTGGCGTTACGCGTATACAGACGTGTAAAACGTGTAGGCGAACATCTTTAAATATCGCATAACTTCACTCAAGTGATATTGATTAAGAATCTTATGATATTTCAGGTGTGTTGACGAAAACAAGAAGTCATATTCTCTTGGAATGAAGAACACAATTCGTAACCTTTGTAAGTATTCAACCCCCCCCCCCTGTGTTCAGCTTTGCTTCATTATTTATTCATACTGAATATCACTAACGTATATATTTGTCTTGTTATTAGTGTTGATTCCATACAGCATTGTAGCTGGAAAACTCATCGACTCAACATGTATACTGTGGCGCGAGGAAGGAGGTGAACGTGGTGCATGCGCACAATATGACAATTACCTCTTCCGGGTGGTATTCCTTGGAGCAAGCTGTGCCCTGAGTGGTGTGTCATTCATCATGTTTTGTTTTACTTTGTTCCTCCTTAAACGCCGACAACATGATGAGGAATATGATGTTCAAATAGGAATGACAAGTATGACGGTACGTATAAAGATTAAAAGTCACATGGAAAACAATAAATCACTTAATCTTTTTGATGTCCATGTCATTAATATATGTTACACAGCCATAATTAATTTGAAAATTATGGGATAATGATGTCCAAATTCATAATGGTGATGTTATTTGCCAACGACCGTGGTAAGTTGTTTGTAAACATGTCAGTGTCAGTATCCTGTTTTACACGGTGTTCAACTCGCATGATCCC